ACGAGCAATAAAAATAAAAAACATAAATAAAAGTAATAATGTTTTCTCATCTCTCAAACATAGAGAAAGAGATAAAGACATTAATAAAAAATTTTATACTGAAAATAATATCTTAATAAAATTATCAAACGCATTTTTAAAAATAATTTTTATTTAAAATTAAAAATGTTTTCATTTTTATTTTTATTTTTATATAAAAAAATAAAATAATTTTAAAACGAGTTTCAAACGAGCCAAAATTAAGGGCCCGTTCGGTTCGCTAATTCGAGTTGAGATGTGATATTGTATGAGAGGTTTTTACTGTAGTAAAAAAGTTAAGTGTGACTGTTTCTGAGAATTTTTTACTGTAACAAAACTCGAATTAGTGAAAAGAACGGGATCAAAAAACTCGTTTACACAATTGAACTTGTCCCATTACGTGGCAAACTGATAAAAACGGATGGACTCCAATGAAATCAAATGAAACCCCTAGCGTCCCCCCACGTACGGGATCGATTACTATTGCAAATTCCATTCCATGCGTTTTGATTAGAATTGACGTTTGGATCGAACCAGAGTGACTGTTTTTAGTTAGAATAGAAAGAAAAATGGTCAGGTGTACGGAAGAAGGACACGAGGGGACAATGAAGAAGTTATGGGTTTGTCAGTGAGAAAGCTTTGGGAATGGCCTGGGACTGGGAGGGGCCAATAGATATTAAATAGTATTATAGTACATGAATTTTGCACGAATTTTTACATCAGCCACATTCCTCAATGAATCTTGATTGATATTTTCTTTTGTATGTTCACTTCCTTTAGTAGCACTGGTCCTATAGGTTTTTCGTTGGTTCCTGCATATTCCAACTATTTAGGTATCGCTAGTCCCTTCAATGGCGTCCGGAGAAGAAGGGGTTTGTTCCCCATTTGTGCTCCATGCTTGCAAAATTGATTCCTGTTTCATTGCAATCTCTTCTATCACGTCAACTTGGTTCTCAACAGTGACGACGGATCCAGAATTTCATTCTAATGGAGGCACGAATAGTGAAAAAATAAATAAATAAATTGAAACATGAAAGATCAGTTCTTTTGCTGAAATATATTAAAAAAAAAAAAAGTTTCTGAATATGCAACTAGTAATAAAATTCTATTGAAACGACATATTATGATTATTTCCTAGTGTGTTTTCACGTTTATTGTTGTTGTAACTGGTCGTTGTCGTTGTTGTCTAAGGATTTGTGAATTTAAAAATAAGATTAAAATGATTATTATAAATATTTTAATAATATTATGAATATGACGAATACATAAATAATAATAAGTCTAGTGATGAGAATAAAGAAGAAGGGGAATAGAAGAAACAAGCTTATACCAACGACGATTGGTATATAGAGAGGGTATTTCATTTAAAAAAAGTACATATAGAGAGAGAGAGAGGGGGTAATTAAAAAGAGAAGTTGTGCAGAGTCACTCGTCACTAGAACAGAAGCCATTCAAAAAAATAACTATTGATGATGAACAAGGAAATACTATTTATGGGGGAGAAAAAAGAAAAATAAATAAAGAAGCCAATGTTGCCATTTAATCTGAGATTCGTTTAATTCGATAATTTAAGTTTTTAATTTAAATTGAGATATAATTTTATGTAAAAAAAATTTATTATAATAAAAATATTAAATGTGATTATTTCTAAAATTTTTTTAATATAACAAAACTTAAATTAATGAAATAAACGGAAATTTAAAATTTAACTTTTAGAGGCAAAAACAAATATTAGAAAGGAAAATAGTAAAAAATATGCCAATATGAAAAGCTTAAGAAAATATATAGGTCAATTTTTAGTTATAGAAATTAATAGGTCATAACTTGTCAAGTTATGGTTCATAACCAGACAAGTTATGAACAATAACTTATCAAGTTATGGTTCATAACCAGACAAGTTATTGATGAAAACAATAATTTAGCCTATTTATTAACTTATGTAAACTATTAACTTATTAATTTTAATTCATCTCAAGTCTTGACCTATTTTTCTCTTTATCCTTATTAGAAATTGAAAAGCGAAGCAAGTTTGACCAGTAATAAATGGATGATGTCATCCAATTTGGGGAAAAATGTTTCAGTAAGAATCCAAGAATTTATTACCGGAAGTTGGCAATGGGGGCACCAGTTAACTGAGCGCGTTTACTTCGTTTGAATTTTATTCGTTTAAATTTTTTAATTTGAATAGAAAATTTTAAATTGTATAGTTTAAATTATATTTTAAATTGACGTTTAGATGTGTAATTAAAATATTAATTTAAATAAAAAATAAAATTTAAATTTATGTTTAATAGGTGCGAAAAGCAGAGAATTGACATTTTTTACTATTTAAAAATAATTTAAACGGTTGAACTTGAGAGTAGAAATTATTATATTTAATTTAAATAAGAAATGTAATTCAAATTACATGATTACTAAACGTCATTTTAAACTGTACTCATTGTTCAAATTGAATTAAACTTAACTAAATTAACGAAACAAACAGAGATGCGTATGTCTCTGGTTCTCAATCTATTTTCTTAACATGGTATTTTTTTCTCGTAAAGATGGATGAGATGTTCTATGCGCCTCATTATCCACAAACAAAATTTTACCTTTCAATTACACTTGTATTTGGCTCCTAAACATGACCTAGGCAAATAAAAAATATCTAAACTATGTTACAGTGTATCCTTTGGTACGGTTAGATTAAAGTGCAACTACATTATTACTATATTATGGGATTAATTTTAAATTTGATCCTAAAAACTATGAGCTATCTTATGTTGTTCTCTACAACTTAAAATGAAATAAAACTCACTCTAAACTTATTACAAATTACAACTTTGGTACTTTTGCTATCAAGACGTTAATTTTTTTAACGGTTTTAATCACGTTTAAGTCAAGTGATTGTTTGGTATAAATGATTAAAAGTATTTTCAAGTCTGAGTCACTTTACATGCAAACATAATTAAAGTCGTTAAAAATTAGCGTATCCATGACAGAAGCAAAAAAAATTACAACTTATAGTTAAAAGAGGCAAAATAAGACAACCCCAGTTCTTCAAGATCAAATTTGAATTAATCCTGTATTTTCTCATGGTCTGAGATCAACATACTACTTGGATAATAGTGCAAGTTCAGGGTTTCTCATATTCTAATACGGATTATTTTTCATTGTCATGTTTGACCACAATCGATGTAGTTTTTCACCGCCCATGGTCCGGCTCTTGTGTTAGCTAAGAGCCACAATGATCTGTTTGAGCTGGAGTTATGTTGCTAGTTGCTACTGGACAAAGCTTTTCAAAGGCATCATAATTGGTCATTGCCTTTGCCAAGAAAAAGGACCAAAGTTGAGGCTAACTCGAGCACAAAAGGCAGCCAACAAACTGCTCCAACTTCAGTACGGCCGGGTCCCTAAGCGGGTAAGTCATATTACCCCAAAACAGACCGTGGCATTTACTTATTTGGGCATCCCATGCTTAGAGCTTTCTCTATGATTTCTGTACCAGGCTGAGAGAATGGTACAAAGAAACAAAATTATCAACATGCCTCCTTATCCGAGAAAAGCTAGTTTAATCCCATGCCACGTGTTATCCATCAATTCTCTTGCTGAATTGATAGCCATCAATTATTTGTACCTACCACCTATATGTTACTCTATTTTATTTCTCTATGTTTTGCAGTCAAGATTTTAAACTTTATATAGCCCTCGTATAGTTTGTAAATTTAAAATTTTAATTTAAATTAAAATATAATTAGTAAAAAAAAATTAAATATGATTTTTTAAATAAATTTTTAATTATAACAAAATTAAAATTAAAAACTCGAATCGTAACACTTACGGCTTAGTGGTAATGGAGCACTGTGATAGAACTGTGGTCACGCATTTGAGTATTGTGTAACCTTTACGGAGATATTAAATCAATGTAAAAGCTTATTTTTTACTAGTCTAGTTATCAATTTAGAGCGTCTAAAATCACACCTGTAACACTCAAAATTTTATTATAGATTTTTATGATATCTTGTTGTGAGCTTTATAATTATAATGTGTTTTATGATTTTCTCGTGACAATTAAAAAAATTTAAATATTCTAAACTCACGTGTCATCTGTCTGACGAAAAGGGATTCAAAATATGTGAGAGTTACACACGTTATAGTCTCCTGTTTTTCTCACTCAAACAAGTGGGAGTGCCTCTCAGACTTTTGGAACAGAGCCAAATTTGAAAAGCTGGCTTTCATTGTTCATTTAGTTAGGTCATCACTCTTTTTTTTTGGCACATCATGCCCCCTCTTTTCCCTCTGATCTATACATTGCAGTGCTTTTTCAGGAACAACAACAGAAACAGCCTCCGGCTACAGTCAAGTAAAGAACGATAATTATAAATAAATAATGAAATCCCTTGTCCCTGCAAGCTGAGCTGTAAATAATGAACAAATACACTGGTCATTCCTGTGATGCCCCCAATCTAACCCAAAACAATTGATGATTTAAATTTTTAATTTAAATTAAAATATAATTTTATATATATATCAAAAAATTAAATATAATTATTTTTTAAAATTTTTTAATATAATAAAACTTAAAATTTAAATTGTGAAATAAATGGAGCCTAATAAGATGGCAAAAGAGTCCACGTTGGCACTATGTGGCTCTCTCTCTCAACACAATTATCCAAAACCATTCCAATGCCCCCAAATGATGCAATCCATAAATCATCACAAACCCCACATCACAGTACCTTAAAAAACTGGCAGGGGAAAAGAAATTAAATGAAAAAAAAAACAAAACAAAACAGAACAGAGGAAAATTATAACACCAACAGTCGGGCATGCATGCCTTGGAGCAATGAAATAGAGAATAAAGCTGCCTTTTCTCTGCTATTTTTTGGATCTTGCTTCTTGTTTTCTTTTTCACTATATAATCTTTGTACATAATTCATCAAGCATAACAACAACAATAATAATAACAAAAAGGGGTAGGCTCTTGTAACTAGACATAAATATTATATATATACGTAAATATATAGGCATATACACAAAAAAAACAAGCATCTGTCCATGTTTTTCCATTTATCTCCTAGTCAATGAAGACTTGCCATACCATTATGGTATGGTTGGTCTATGACCCCAAAAATCAGATCATCAAAAGCAAAAGAGCCCAAAACACCTTTTCCCCTAACTTTTTTCCCCACCCTCTTTCTTTTTTTTTTTTCTATTTTTTTCCTTTTGTTATATTTCTTGTCCATATTCCATCTTTATAGTGCGATCTCAGTCTGCAAAGTAGTAGCGGCATTGAACCCCCCCATCTGCTGCTGCTGCTGCTCAACGCCATGATCTTTCCCCCACCTTGCCTTTGCTATCACACCATCATGCACAGGCACGTACTCCTGACCACATTAACAGTGTTTTTACGTGTGTTTGTGTGTGCCATCATCAATCAATTACACGCCCAAAAACAAAATGAAACACCGAGAGGAAGTTTTTTTAGGTTTGAATCACAGTTTAAGAAACGTCGAGACTTTAATTTATGAATTAGAATATTAGAATTATTTTTAATTTACGTGTATTATTTATGAGAGAAAATATTATAACGAAACATGAAACATGAAACATGATTCAAATCATGATTTGAATCCTCCGACTAAACATCCCCTAAATTTCTATTCAAACTTATTCTTCGAATCTATGAATAAAACGGACCGCAAGATGGTTTAAATGTGGTTAAAAAATGTATTAATTCTCACGAAAAAAAAAAAGAGGCAAAAGAGGTGTGACCCACCTCGAGTTTTTGGACAAGCTCTTTGGCGTTGGGAGCTGAGACAATGATGTGGCGCTGAGAGGGCTTGATGAAACCATCATCAACGGCTTTGTCAATGAAAGTGAGGAGAGAGTTGTAGTAGCCATCAACATTGAGCAGACCCACCTGGTGCATTTATATTTAGTTTAAGATAAAAGATAAGATTTTGAGCATTAAAAATGCATTATTAAAAAGAAAAGACAGATTTTCATCAGTCAAAAAGGTGTTTGGTGCGGTTTTGCTCACTGGCTTGTCATGGATACCGAGTTGAGCCCAGGTGATCACTTCTAGTAACTCCTCCAAAGTTCCATACCCACCTGATTAAATAAGGAAATTTGGAACAAAACCCCATTAATATTAGTGGAATATGAACATTGCACGAGAGAGAAGTTGGTATATTATTCACAGAGAGAGAGAGAGAGAGAGTGGGACCTGGCAAGGCAATAAAACAATCAGAATGGCGGGCCATTTCTGCCTTTCTTTGATGCATGTCGGCTACTGCCCTTACTTCCCCAACCGTCTCACCCGTTATCTGAGGTTCAACATACATTTTCCGACAAACCAATTAACCAAAAGCACTAAACTTCTTTAACACGAAAAAAAAAAGAGGGGAAAAAAACCCAAATGAGAATAATACTCACCTCTTTACACATTAGAGTCCTGGGGATGATCCTACAAAATAAAAACAGAAAATGGATTAGTCATGAACAGTTATGCAATAACATGTTATAAAGAACAAATCATGTGTAAATTCATGTGTTTGTAGTTTGTACCCAAGAACATTCCCTCCACCACGATGAACAGCCTGAGAAACCAAACCCATTAGCCCAATACTGCCTCCTCCATAGACAAGGTCCAACCTTCTTGAAACCTTGACAAAATAACAACCATTAGATAAAATTAAAAAATAGATTAAAAAAGTACAATATGGGTATTTCTTAAATTTAAAAAAAAAAAAAAAAAACATTATACCAGCTCTTGGGCCAATTCAATGGCAGCATCTCTGTAGCAATTTCTCTTGCCAGTACTACTTCCACAAAACACACAAACCCTATTAAATCGTGATTTCACCACTTTCCCTTCCATGCCCAAATTTTCTTTTAATCCAATGTTTCAGACTTAATAACACTGGAGTTTTAATAATAATAAATACTAATGATAATCATACATTCACTGAGATGCAGAGTATATCAAGAATGAAAGGACAAGCCACAATATATAGACACCTCAACGATGCAAACTAAAGCAAAGGACAGACTCTACTACTCTACTCTATAAACTCCAGCCATTTTATTTTATTTGTATGATGAAAAAAAGAAAAATAAAATAGGAGAGAGATACTTAAAAAAAAAAAAAAAGTAGACTGCTATTCTGTGAATGGATTGAGATGAAGTAAGACAAAAAGGCCAAGCAAGAGACTAGAGAGACACGGAAAGTGGGATGACTGTGTATCATGCCAGGGCAAGGTGCACACGTGTCGTGAGATTAGGCAAGAAAGTTGGTGGTTTCGTGTTTGGACTAGTGATTTTAAACAAACAAAAAGAAAACCTTTTGCAAGAAATATAATAATAACAATTAATAAAAAATAATGCTAATAGAATAATAATTAGAAATTCCCAACCTTGCAAATTATCATCTTAGCCTCCATTTCCAAGGCCTTTCTTTTTCTCTCTACCGCTTTCATATCTGTCTCGGTTTTAATGCAAAGCAATCATAACCGGATGGCTAAAACACGTGCAGAGCTTTTCTGCACCAACACTCGGAACCAACGAATACACAGATTAGAAAGTATGTGAAATTATGATTCTTATTTGAAATTTAAATTTTTTATAAAAAAAATTTATAAGAGAATCGGTTATTTAAATTTGAGTATATAAAATATAAAATTTTTTTTGATTTTTTTTAAAGATATTAATATTTTATATTTTTTAACCGTTCGATTTATATTATTTTTATAATTTAATTTAATTTTAACAAGATTTAATATATTTAATAGTTGATAAACATATAATACTAATATTTTTAAAAAATAAAGAACATTAAAAAAACCTCATAAAACAAACAAACGAGTCTTTAATATTCTTCTTGGCTTTGCTTATATCCGATTCCAAGCCAACTTCTTTTTTGCTTTGCATGAAGAAGATTAAACATGCCTTGATTAATTAAATCAATCGCTCTTCTTTGTTCATAAAGTAATAGGAGTCAAAAAGATCATCTTAAACATTGCCATTAGTGGATGCATGTAATGCAATAACATTTTACAAGTAATCTCTATGTAAATCATAGATAATTAAGGTTCATTAGGGAAAAAAAAAAAGAAGAAAAAGACAACGCTTTGCGTAGAGAGGTTATAGACGCGTATTTCAAAATTCAAGATTATACATTAAGTAAAGATTAGTGTATCTGCTACGTACATATGTACAAACCCATAATTCGAGTTATTTGATATATATATATATATATATTTATATACACACACATATATGTGTACCGCGTAAGGGACTTGATGGTTTTCTCGTGTTTGAAATATTATTATTGTCAAGCTCAAAAGTTACTATTAATTTCACATTGGTCTCTCTCAAATCTCAATTATATATGATGATTATCAACTAATTAAGATTTTAAAGGGTATCGATCTAGGCATTACTAACCCAAACAAGTTGCAACAATTAATCATCGGGAAGCAATTGATGCTTTAGTGCGTGTTTTCGAATGAATCAAACAAAACATGATAAAAATATTACGGTTCAAAACAATGACCTGAACTATTTTTTTCATACTTGACCATCAAATTCTATTTTTTTTTTTATCTTTCCTTAAAAAAATTCAATTTTTTTGTGGAAAACGTTTGTAATTGTTTGCTGTTCACTGTAGAGCCACATATTGCTCTTAATTCTTTGCTTTTTTTTATTTATGTTTTTCACACACAATATTTTGTTGAAAGCTTGTTTAGTCATTTCACATTAATTTCTTCCATCGATGTCTTCTTGAAAGCCTCGTTTCATGACTTACTATTTAAAGGGACAAAATCCCTCTTACTTTTTGACTTATTTGTTGCTTTTGGCTATTGTAACAAGAAGAGTACATCTTCCCACTATTTCCCTAGCTTAAAGAGGCATATATTCGTCCACAAAATCGGATATTTGTAAACGGACATCTTTTTATATCTACCTAGTGTAATATCCTAACAAGTTGGTGGCATTAAAAGTTCCAGCAAAAGTACCGAGTTTAGGGTTGAAAAGACTTTCTTTTAAATTCGGCCTTTTCATTAAAGAACAGGGACTTGATTGAAAGACTTGCTATTGAATTTAGACATCAATATGAAGGCCATGTGTCGGGATATGGACTGTAAGAGTTAACACCCCACTGCCCATCTTTCTAAGATGCACCCACGGAGGTTTATATTTATATATATATATATATATGTATGTATATATGTACACGTCGGTTACTTATATCAAAAAAGTAAAAACCTGAAAATAAAATTATAAGATTATGACAAGCCATTAGGTGGAAAAATAAAAAATGCAGTACTCCTCGTGAAAAAAGTATATATGGAATCATTAAAATTTAACTTGTTAATAATAAACTTATTTTTGTGAATCTTATCTAACAATTTGGACGTACTATATATGTACCTCTAAATTTCATGATTTTTCTCATTAACAATAACAATGATGAATAATCTTTAGGATGAATGAAGCAAACTTGAACTCTCATATTACCAAACTGATAAAGGTTACGTATTTGAGTCTAATAGCAGGCCAATTAACATAACGTGTACGTGTAGAAATCCTACCAAAAAAACACACGACTATATATTACTTGTAAAAAAATTCTTTTCCACTGTGCTTTCATGAAAACTCATATTGCTATTTGACCCATTTGGTTTATAAATTTGAATATAAATTTAAATTTTATAAGAGAAAATATTAAAGCCTCGTTCATTTCACCAATTTGAATTTTCAGTTTTAGGTTTCTACAGTAAAAAACTATCAGAAAATGTTACATCTAACTTTTTCTGCCACAGTGAAAAGCTCTCAGAAAATATCACATCACAGCTCGAATTAAAAACTCGAATCCACAGAGTGAACGAAGCCTCAGTAAAACAAACACACGTGAATATTATAAACTTGAGAGAGGTTACAAAAACGAGAGCAATTCCTCACCGGATTTACACCAAACCTAGAGCTAGCGCTCAGCAAATTATATTAGTTCTTTTCATAACTTTCTGACTAGTAGTAAATAGCCTGGAACTTAGGACGGGCCGTCTGCGGCCACTCAAAAAATCAATTTTGAGCTCAAAACCCGACCGGATTTGCAAGAATTTTTTAGGCCGCCTGCCCGAGCTCGAGAAAGCCCGTGGACAGGCCGCGGGCCTGGTTTTGGCTGCTCGAGTCTGCCCGAATTGCCCGGAAAAAAATAAATTTTATTATATTTTTTAATTTTTATAATATTGTATATATATATATTTTTATATAATATACTATTATTTAGTAATTGTATTTGTATATAAATAATTATTAAGTTTTTTGTGTTAAAATTATATAAAAACTAAAATCAACATTCAACATACATTATTAACACAATTTAATAAATTAATTTTGTATATTAATTTTTAAATTCGTAATTCATGATTGCCTCGTTAAAAATCTTACCATGAAAAACTCAATTAGGATAAAAACTTGGTAAGGAAAAAAGAGTGCAGTCATTTTGTGACGAATTACAAATTTTACAAACTTAAATACATATTTACAAATTACATTTTAATTTGAAGCTGAATGATTGTCTTCAAAATTAAATGTTAATCTATTAAATTCATTGTCCCATCTTTACTTGTCGGTGAAATTGTATCCTGTAAACGTTGATCAACATAATCCCAATCCTTAATGCAGACCAAGGCTTCAACAATGTCCCTTTGTAATGCGTTTCAGCGTTCCTCAAGTATTCGTCTGGTCGTACTTAAGGCTTGTTAGGATGAAACAGTGGAGACTGGGATTGAAAAAATATCCATTGCCAATTGAGTTAGGATTGGCCATTTTAATGCTCGTGTCCTCCACTATTGAACTAAGTCAAACGATTCTCTAGTGCCGTCGACTACTAAGCTCTCACTGAGGTATGCTATAAGCTCATTGAAGCTACCGCCGCCGCTGCCACCTGTTGATGAAGATCCATTCCCAGCTTCTGTTTGAGTCGTCATCTTCTTATTCTTCAACCCAAAAACATTCAAGAATGGATGCGGGTTTTCATCTTGTTGTTGCGGTTCTTGTACTTCAGAGTTTGTGTTTCTAAACCTATTCTCATATTTACTATAGATCGAAAATATTTTTTCCTTTATTGTTGGAAATTGGTCAAAATAATTGATGCCTAAAAATTCACCTAAGTTTTCTAAACCGTCTAATTTTAATCTAATATAAAAAATAGTACCGAAACCATACAATAAAGGCAATGTAGACCAATATTTTTGAAATTTCATTTCCACAGAAGCGATAGGAACTCCTAAGATTAGGTCCGTCATATATTTACTAAATAAAATATTAATTCTTAAAAGTTCAACTGAAGCTAAATGTGATGTTGGGTAATATGTTCCACTAAGTTTTAAAGTAACTTCATGAAACCTACCTAAAAATTGATACAAAATTTCGGCAATTTACCAATCATATGCGTCTATATGTCATGTTCATAATTTTGTATAGATATAGTTCGTTATCGCATCCTTATAGGCGATGCATTGTTGAAGCATAATATAAGTTGAGTTCCATCTTACAGGCATATCTAAGGCTAATACTTTAAGAGGTAGATTTAATGCTTGTAAGAACCTAAACTAATCTTATTCTCTTTGGTTACTACCTTAAATCCATGCAATACTATCTCTAATTCTTTTAATGTGAGTAGCCGTTTCTTTTAAATCAGATTTAACTATTAAATTAATTACGTGACATTCACAACGTTGGTAGAAAATAGTACCATCACCGAATAAACTTAAATGATTTTCAAAGTACTCAATTGTTTTAGTATTTGCATTATCTAATATTATAGCCATTACGTTATCTCTTAATCTAAATTCATCAATTACATTTAAAATTGTATTATATATTAAATCAACGCTATGTGATCCTAAAACTCATTTAAAACCTAATATTATCTTATCTAAATCGAATCCTTTAAAGTAATGTCCGGTTACGGCTAAATAATTTTTATTGGTAACGACAGACCAAATATTTACCGTCAATGTAACGCAACCACTCTTTGAGTGTAAAAAGTTTATTAATGCTTT